AAAAAACTCTTTGGTAGACTAAAGACATCATAAACAAAGTGGAAAATAACAAATCTTCAACTTGGAGAGGGGATTTGGCATGCATGTAACCAAGAAAAGATTTAGCCCTGATTTTATAAACAGCTCTAATGGAAAAGACCAAAGGATATGAATGAATAGTTCTCAGAAAGGGATATCCAATAGTCTCAAAACATATGTAATCAATGTAATACAAATTAAACAAAAAGGATATAATATTTCACATTCATTGGATATGCAGAAATGGGAGAAAAAAAAAAAAAAAGACTGACCACGCTAAGATCTGCTGAGCATAGTGTAAATGGATACAGGCACTTTGGAGGACAAGATGGCAGTATCTAATAACGCACTGCTATTGCCAAGCAAGACGGCAGGAACGCCTCAACTTCATGGCAACATTGTTAATCATGGGGAAAAACTTGAAGGACTCTAAATGCCCAGGTATGGGATCTGGCAGAGGGCACATAAGAGGCCTCAAAAACATTAGTAGTGTTTTATTTCTTAAGAATAAATGTATGCAAATGTTCTCAGTTCTATCATTTTCTGTACTTGTTTTGGTACGCTTGAAAACTACCTAATTAAAAAATGAGTTTGGCGAGGGTCATGGGGAAAAGGCACTCACACAGAGCTGGAGTGACCGTCAACTGTCAATTGGCACAACCACTTCCAAGGGCAAGTTAAAACTTCATGGTGACACAACTCTTTTTAACCTCTTGGATGGACAAGATGGAAAAGCTGGATAAGAGTGTGTGTTGCCAGGAGTGTCGGGAACAGGCACTCTCCTACATTGCAGGTGGGAATACCGAGGGAGGACACCCCCTTGGTGGTAACTTTGGCAATATTTAACACAATTGGAAACTCCCTTTGACCCAGCACGATTTCCCCAGGTATTTATTCTAAGAAAATAAGCAATATTAGAGCAAAGATTTATGTACACTAATGCTCATCAAAGCAATCACAGCATTGTTTGAAATATTAGCAATACAAAAAGAAACAACCTGCAAGTCTAACACTATCTAATTGGTTCTAATTTATGGTACAACTGCACCATGGACTACTATGCAGCCACCAAAATGATGCTGTTGAAACTTTTTAATGATGTGAAACTGCTTCCGAAACATTAAGCTAAAATTAAGTAGGTTACAAAATAGCATGAAGAGTAAACCATGAAAAACACTAATCTATGCACTGAAGTAAATGTAACAAAATGTTAACAGGAGTTAGTTCTGGATGAATTATAGGTGATGTCATTGTCTTGTAGAATTCTTTTTTTGTCTTTTCCAAAAATGTTGTGTGTGTGTAACTACTATTAAAATAGGAGAAGCTCTCTTTTGCTGAGATAATTTAAACATGCCGAATGAAACTGACTGATACCCTCCCGCCCCAAAGCAGGCAGCCAAGGCCAAGTACTACAGACTTATACTGTTCCTATGGAAATCTAAGGAGTCTTTGATTATTGCAGAATCTGGAGAAAGTGAGGATTTGAGTTCACCGGTGACGTCACCACAGGCAGGCTGGGCATTTAGGGAAGCTGTCCACCCTCTCTGGTTTCGCCCCTGTGAAATGGACATACCCAGCTCGGGTGGCCTGGTTCCCCGCTTTGTTTTGAGGGTCACCGGCGGTGTCACGCGTGCGAGCGCGGTTTGCAAAGCCTCAAGCGCCGGGGGTTACGCGGGCATGGCTGTCGCCGCCGCACAGCCGCAGCAGCGACGCTACCTTGGGGCGCCCGGCTCGGGCGCGCGGGGGCGGGGACGCGCGCGGGCGGGGCGACGGGGCGGGGACCGGGACCGGGGCGCCCCAGCCGCCCGCTTCCGCCGCCTGGCCGGGGAATCCCCGGGGGCGGCGCACGGGGAAGTCCCCTCGCGCGCGGGTACAAGGGCCCGCGCCGCGCCAGGGCGCCACACCACTGCAGCCCCGAGGCGGCGGCGCAGCGCTCCAGCCATGTCGCGCGGCCTCCAGCTCCTGCTCCTGAGCTGCGGTAGGGCCCGAGAGCGCCCGTCGCCCCCCGCCTCTCCGCGACACCCCTCTCGGCGCTTGCTCACGGCGCGCTCTCTCTCTTTCTTGCAGCCTGCAGCCTGGCGCCCGCGACGCGGGAGGTGAAGGTGGCGTGTTCGGAGGATGTGGACTTGCCCTGCACCGCCCCCCGGGACCCGCAGGTCCCTTACACCGTCTCCTGGGCCAAGGTAAGCGCGGCGATGCCCGCGGGCTGGGGTTTGGTCCGCTCATTTGGGGGCACAGAAACCGTCTCCCCTGGGCTGGCGACCCTTTGTGGCCGGGAGTCGGGGGGCGTCTCCCGCAGCTGAACTTGGAGTACCCAGTCTTCTGACACGCCTGCCCCACCCCTGCTCCAACCCCGTCCGCATCCCAGGGACAAGGCAGACTCAGGTTTTGTTCCCCGAAGACCTCAATCCTCTCCCTGCCCCTAAAGGTGGCCTGAGATGAATGATCCAAATAAGGTACTTGAGAAAGGCTGAGAATTTCTCATCTGGATGAATTCTGGAGGCCACCTGTGGTCGTGGCCAGCAGGTCAGGAAGAAAGCAACACCGGCCCAGATTTGAGCATTGGCCGGGAGGAATGTCCCCAGACTTCTGATTTCTTGTGTTTTGTGACAATGTTTTGCTGTCCACAAAACGTGGGAGGGGGAGGGAAGAGGAAGAGCTGAGAGAGTCAGGAGTGGTCGTTTTCAGCGGTCATCCCCTTTGTGGGATACCCTTGGGTCTTCCCCTAGCCCGGCTTCTTCCTCCGGCAGCCAGCATGAGAGGTGCAGGGATGAGGGCATCCTTCAGGGTGCGTGAGCCCAGCCCGCAGGTGGAAGAACAGGCCTTGCCGTCCCTACTGTGAGAGGACTGAGTTGCAGGGAGGCTTTTTAAGGTTCCCTCTCAACTGGAACATTCGCAGATTCTCGGATTGCAATTCCGGTGGCATTCCAGAGCCGAGCAGCCACCATGTGTTGTTACTGGTCCTTTGCTCCCCTTCTTTAAGTCAGGTTACTGCTACAACAGCACCTCCATTTTTGGCCAAATGAATATGATATCCCAGCCTTCCTCTGTGGCTCTCGCTGATTTGCTGTCTTACCTTGGAGGAAATCCATGCATTTGTAGCTTTCCAGAAAATGCAGGGCTTCCTTCCGCCCACGGTAAAAGATACTACAGGAACCTGCACATGTATCTGGCCATCTAACAGTACAAGGCAGCATTGGAGGTGTGTGTGTGTGTGTGTGTGTGTGTGTGTGTGTGTGTGTGTGTGTGTGTTTGTGTGTCTCTTCTCCTAACTGGATTGTCAGTTGCCTGGGGACAGTGGCTGCACCAGTGCTTTTAAGTATTCGGCAGGGCACCCAATGTTTGCTCTGTTAATTGCAAAAGTGTTCAGTGAATTCAGGCTGGTACTTCCCAAGTTAGGCAATGTAGAGATGTCGTTGCTGCCTTGGAGCACTGGATGGTGTATCAAAGTAGGGTGTTAGTATTCCTACTTCATTTCCACCTTCTTCACTGTGGCATCAAAGAACACAATCCCACAATTGTCCTCATAGTTAAAATGATAGCATTTTTTAAATTATAAAAACAGTATTATTTGAGTGCTCACCATAAGCCAAGTTCCAAGGTAAATATTCACATACATTATCTGTTTCCATCCTTCCAATGGACTTCAGGGGTCAGTACCATTACTATTCCTACCTCCTGGTGAGGAAACGCAGCCGGCATAATAAGTGGTGGAGCTGGGATTTGAACAGATCAGCCTGATTCCAGACCCTGAGTTGTTACAAGTCTATCTTGATAACTCTGATAGCTCTGTTTTCTACCTTAATTACTTACAGTAAAGAAAATAAAAGTGCCCCTAGGCTAGCCAGGCAGGGACTTAGTTATCTCAAAGAAGTGGGGAAACATGAAACCACTATCCCTTCCAGAGAGTAATTAGAAAAAGAAAACATTATTAATATCCCCAGGGGTGTAATTAAAAAGTACTCATGAAACAAGCAGATGAAATTTCAGACTGTAAAGTTCAAACAGTTGTCGAGTTAAATCTTCTTGCACAGGGTCATTTGGAGTGGTTCAGTAAACCATAGCAATTAACCTTTGACTTCTCCTTGGTTGTCAGCTGGTGATATAACTTTGTAATGTATGTGCTTGTTTATTGGGCACAGTTCTTGCAAGATTTACCCTGAAGGTCTTCTCCTAACTCTGTTAAAAAAAAGAAAAAGAAAAAGAAAGAAAAAAAAAGACAGCACTCTCTAGGCCTTCTCTCTTTTCCTGTTGGTCCATGTAACAGGGCCGTTGAAAAGTCATATCATGGTTATTTTTTAAGAAGTAAACTGTGGGCAAGGTGAGTGGATAGTAGGAGAGTTGTGCTGTGCCAATAAACTAATCAGGTACCTTGAAAGTGATATATATTATTCCTTCAAGTGGTTTTTTTTTTATTTTTTATTTGTTTATTTTTTTTGAGACAGAGCCTTGCTCTGTGGCCCTGGGTAGGGTGCAGCAGTGGCATCATCATAGCTCACTGCAGCCTCCAGCTCCTGGGCTCAAGCGATCCTCCCACCGCGGCCTCCCAGGGTGCTAGGATTACACGCGTGAGCCACTGAGTCCGGCCTCCTTCAAGTATTTTTTTTTTTTTAACAAGTCTCAGCATATTCTGTAGATACTTGTTATTTTCCAGCCCAATAATTATACTTTTGCATTGATTGCGTTTGCACAACAAAAATGGATAGAGTGTTCTGGAAATAAGGCCAGTGGTGACATACTGAAATGCTTCATTTTATGGAAGATTAAACATCTTGTCATTTTTCCACAACTTTCATCGAAGTAGAGAGGTAGCTGTGAAGGGAGGAATTTAACCCTGGTGACCATGGCTGGTGGAGCCCATCTCACCTCACCGTTTTGTCATTTCCCTGGCTTTGCAAAACCTGTTTCCTCTGCACAGGAGGAGGCTGTGCGCGGGGCAAGGGAAGCGGAGTCCCTTGGAGTGGATTCGCACCGTCCGCCAGATTGAATCACATTCTTGCAGACCTTCTACATATCACGATTATGGTTACGATGACTCACAATTTAAAATTCCATTTACCACTCAGTCCTCCGGCACCACAGAGCATCCTGCCTCTGTCCAGTTGGCACTGATGACTTCTGATTGTTTTTTGTGTTATGTCTTTTACCAAAAAACTCAAAGCAAGTGGCGTCCAATTAGTGTTTGTAACATTAGGGTGAGTTGGAAAGGAGCAGTGTTCAGTTTATTCTCTCTGTTTCAAAGATTCAGTGAGAGTGGGTTGGGGGGCTCAATCTAGACATGCACGTGAGGTCAAAGTTGAAACCAGAAGTGGACAGAGATAGCCCAGTTCTTGTTTGCCCAGCTCTTCTTTCCTGTGGACTAGTGTCCTCCTAACTGGGATCCAACAAAGGGTCTTCCTCTCATCCCTTCCTCTCTTGTACCTTTTAAGGCAGAAATGGGTGATTGAGAAAAAAATGGAAAAGTTTTTTTTTTTTTGAGACACAGTTTCACTCTGTTGCCCAGGCTAGAGTGCTGTAGCATCAGCCTAGCTCACAGCAACCTCAAACTCCTGGGCTCAAGCGATCCTCCTGCCTTTTTAGTTGCCTGGCTAATTTTTCGTAGAGATGGGGTCTCGCTCTTGCTCAGGCTGGTCTCGAACTCCTGAGCTCAAGCAGTCCTCCCGCCTCAGTCTCCCAGAGTGCTAGTGAGCCACCACGTGCGGCCTGAAAAATTAATAAATTATATCCGTTAGGATAGTAGCTCAATTTGGCTTTCAAGTTGTAATAGAGTGTGGCTGTTTGGGGAGGTATGTTGAGAAAATATACAAATAGACTTTGATCCATCACTCTTCTTCCTTTGGCCATGGCCTGTGGTTAAATTCTGGCATAAGAGGGCGTAGCATGATATTGCGTCTGCTGAGAGTAAGACCATGCATCAGAGGGCTACATCTGTGCTTCGCGATGAGTGTCACCGTGTCCACACTCTCTTTAGTGAAGGTTTGGAGAGAGACTGTGGATGGAATGCTTTGGGCGTGGTTGATGTTTGCCACCGATAATGATGATAATGCGCAGTCATTTATCTGGGGGATGAAGTGTCATCTTGTATCATGGAGCCCTGACAACCTACGGTGATACGAAACGAAAGAGGATATATAGTGTCGTCTCTGGGTGACACTGCGGGGGTGAGGACCACGAAGCATCACAAGACAAGTGCCCTTTATAGATGATTTCCAAAGGAAAGGAGAAAGAGGAAGTAAGACTGTGATTTCAGAGCATAGGTCAAACTTGAACTTTATGATATTTAGAGAGCTCCAGCTGGGACAGATCACAGACCATCCCGTGGAGTGTTCTGTCTCTGACATTCACGCTAAGAGAACTGGTGGAGAACAGGTTCATGGCTTGCATGAGGCTACTTCAAAAGTTCAGGGGTAGTCACCACGAAGATCTCGCCTGTCCTCGACTCACTATGAAGCTGTCTTTCCTGTGTGTTGCTACACTTATATTTGGCAGAGTTATTTTTTCTGTCTCTACCATCTTGTGTGATAATGAGCTACAAAGCCGGGGGTACTGAGGAGAGCCCAGTGCTGTAGGACGGGCTGGAGTTGATGAATGTTGGGGTGGACATAATCTGTACAGCCCTGTCCCCTGATGGACCCACGGAGGAGCTGATGTAGGCCACTTACTGCACTTCCTTGATTCCAGAATGCTCTCTGTTGTATGATGGATTTAAGAACATGTTTTTAGGACAAAAAGGAAACATTTCTACATTAAATATAGAAGCATTGAAATGAGAAAACAGCGTGTGTCTGTTAGAAACAAAGAAAAATTATACTTTCCCCATTGGCACTAGGGTACTTGATCTGATCTAATCACTTTTGTGGGTTCGACGTAAAGTTTGTTTAAGATGTGTGTCATATTTACACTTTCATTATTTAGTAAAGCTTTCTAAGTCCCAAATGTGTGCCAAGTTTTGGGCCTGGCATTGGCCATCCCAAGATTGACACGGAACTTTTGCCAGAGGATCATCTTGAGCAAAGGCGTGGAAATAGGAATCCACAAAGCCTTTTTGGGGACTAGTGGAGTAAATAGTGATCTAGAAGGGAGAATAACACAGCAGGAGGCTGAGAGATAGTGTTAGAAAGTAGGCAGGGAACAGATTGTGAACGGCCTTGAATGTCAAACTATAATGGCTTGAACTTTATCC